AGTCGGGGGGGCAGCATGTGGAGCTCCCCGAGTTAGACTTCTGTCTCCTGACCCCACGCCTGGGAGGCACCCCGTCACCTCTGGCCTGCTGAGCCATGCAGATACCGTCAGGGCACCCGTGGTATGCCACAGTGGACGTGGCCAGCCCTGGCCTACCGTGGCACTGTCTGGACCTTTCCACTTACCGCACCTGCCGCCTGTGCACCCTCAGGACCCTGGCCCCTTGCCCTGCCGCTCTGCAGCGTCCTAGTGGGGCTTAGGCCCATCGGAGCTCCTCCCTGCAGCCACTGCGTGCCGTTGAGGGGCCTTTCCTGGCCTGTCCTTCGCCCCACGCTTTCCTGTCACAGCCCTCACGTGGCAGGGCGGCCTGGGAGCCCGGGAGGTGAGGCCTCAGTCCAGCTGTGGAGACCGGGGGACGCTGGCTGGACACCGAGCGGGAGGCTGAGGACCTGGTCGGGGCGGCCAGAGTGACCATGGTGGACGCCGAGGAGGCTGCGGGCCAGGCAGGGCATGGTGTCCTGGACTTAGGGGTGCAGGGCTGGGCCTAGGGAGGAGGAGGTGGGGACAGGGTGCTGGGGGGGCACAGGGAGCTTCGGGGGCGGGTCCCGGGGCAGGACGTGGGGCTGTATGCCCATGTGGGACCTGAGAGGCCAGGTGGGGAGTCGGCGCTGAAGACTGCGCAGTGTGGCACGATTGCTTCTGCGGATGAGTGGAGGAGGACATGGCTCAGGGCGGCGGGTCAGCGTGGAGAGGAGTGTGGGGCCCAGGTGCCGAGGGGAGCTGTGAGGGTGGCCGAGACCCTGGTATCTGAGCGCGAGCTGCCTGGCCTGTCTCCTGCAGGTTCATCACGCGGCCCGACGTCAAGCAGAGGAAGATGCCGGCGTTCCTGGACTGGAGCCTGCGCACCTTGGCCCGCTCCTCCTTCCGGACCATCGAGGGGGTCATCACCATGGATGGGATGCTGCAGGCCCTGGTAAGGCCCATCCCGCGGGTGCCGGCGGTGTGGAGACCGCAGCCCTGGCGGGGCCCGTGGGGTGCTGCCTGCCTGCGATCTGAGCCCATCTGTCCTGGAGCTGTCCCGGAGCAGCTGTAGTGTGGAGGGAGCAGCGTCCTCCCCCTGCCCGGGCTCCACCTCCAGCCCGGCGCTCTGCACGGGCGAGGCCAGTGCCCTGTGTGGCCGCCAGAGGGCGGTGGTGCCTGTGGAGCCAGCCCTGCCGCGCCTTGGCTGCTTTCCTCTGGCTTCATTTCTTACAGTGCTTGGGTCCCTAAAGGGTAGGAAGGTGCTTTGGGTGCTCGGCGTTTCTGTGGACCCCGCCCTGGCCCTGCCGGCCGTCCCAGCTCCTGCCACCACAGCTCTGCTGCCGCACTTGTCTCTGCGTTGCCTCTCCTCGGTCTGAGGAGCAGGGCCAGCCAGGACACCACACCGCAGGCTGAGGTCTGGTGGCTGGAGGGGCGGCCGGTGCCGGCTCTGCAGCGCCTCCCCTCTGTCTGGTGCAGTGGGGCCACCCTCGTCTGAGCACACATGTCCTCATCCCTGAGCCCTGGAGCCCATGGCCAGCTGAGCAGAGCGTAGGCGGGTGACGACTGAGTGTGGCGTCTTGGGTGGCTCCTGCCTACCATGGCAGGCTTGGGAGGACACCTGGGCTGGTGGGAGGACAGGGCCACTGACGTGACAGCCAGGACAGTGGGCGCCCTGCGGGAGGGTGTTTCTCGAGCTTCCTCCTGTTCCCGCGGGGTAGGTTTACAGGCATGCAACATCAAGGTGTGACTCACACGCCAGGACTGACTGATCCTTCTAGAGAGTAGTTCAGTCAGCCCTAATTCCAGAACATTCCATCACTCCAGAGAGAGCCCCGTGCCCACTGCACAGTCTCCCTGCCCAGGCAGCTGCCTGTCCCCTCCTGTCTGGGTCGCCTGCTCTGGACGTCCCGCGTCGTGGGGCTCATGCAGACGTGGATGCCGTGTCCTGCTTTGTTTCTGTCCAGCACCGGCTGCCCACGTGTGGCGCTCCGCCGTGTGGGCGATGCTGCCGTGAGCCCACGTGCCCTGCCCTTGTTTCAGTTGGTGTTCCTGGTTCCTGGGCACGTAACAGTAGCTTCCGAAGGAACTTTGCCAGTGTTTCCAAGCACCCTCCTGAGTCCCGCATCTGAAGTGTGTGGCTGTACGTGTGTTGTGCTGTACCAGGGTGACGGGTCCGGCCACGGGCTCGCCTGCGGGGGCCAGGCCTCATGGGGTCAGCGTGGCCGAGGCGAGGGCCCTGCCCCGCTCTTGGCCGTGGGTCATGCCTGCGTGTGTGGGCGGCTCGTGGAGGTCCGGGTCTAAGTGGTTCTTAGGGTTTGGCCGTGAGCCCTGCTAGAACAGCGAGGCCCGGGGCGGCAGGTGGCGGTCTGAGCCCGGCGCCCTGCAGCCGCGTGCTGGAGCTGTCCTGGACGTGCGCTGCTTCCAGACGCAGACGCCTGCGACTCCCTCGAGAACTGTTTCAGGACCCCCCAGTGAGGAGTCTGCGTTTCAACAGGCTACCAGGGCCTCCTTGCCAGACTGGCCCAGGGGTTGCCCTTCCTCTGCCCTCCCTGCGACGTGTCCACTGGGACCGAGGTCTGGGCTGGGAGGGCCAGCAGGGTGCCCTGACTGTCGGGCTGGAGCCGTACCCACTCCCTTGGGGGCTGTGGGCCAGGAGCGCCGTGTGGGGCAGACTTCCAGTGCCAGGCAGGCCAGGCTGCCTCCGGCTTCACACGCACCCTGGATGGAGGGCCCATTTCAGCTGCACGGTCCTGGTGGCCAGTTCTGTCTGGCCCTGTCGTGGCTCTGCCCCAGTTCCCAAGGTCTGTCTCTCCTGCCCTGGGGGAGGCCCTGGTGCATGGGCTGGGCCCTGAGCGCCCGAGGAGAGGCAGGCAGGCAGGCAGGCCTGCGCCCGCCCTAGGTGCCGGTTGCTCTCCCCGTGTGTGGCCTGGGGGGCGCGTTTCTGCGAGGACAGCGCAGCTCACATTTCAGGGAGAGGGGATGTCTTCCCTTCCTCCTGAGGCATTAAAAGGTCTCCCAGAGGCTGATGGAAGCCGTGCCTCCTGCCACCCAGCCCGCGTGTCGGCAGAGGGCGAAGAGGAGGCTCTCCCGCTGTCTGGGTGGAGTGCAGGGGGTGGGACCCACTCAGAGTTTCGCCAGTGAGCAGGCAGCCTCTGACGCGGCGAGCCCTGGGAATGAGCGATGCCTCGCCGCCCCTCCCGCCATGTGCCCTCACCCCTGAGCCCTGGAGCCCACGGCCGTGCTAGCAGAACACGGGCAGGGGGTGGCCCCTCTCTTCCGGGGCCGCGGGCAGCTTTCAGACCAGTGCCGTTTCCCGTACTCCCTGGGCCAGTTGGTTCGCCTGGAGGCGCGCGGAGCAGGGAGGGGTGCGGCCCCAGTGGGCAGGCGGGCAGAGCTGGTCCGACGGGCCCGGCCGCTGTCCTGTGCATGACGGAGCTTGCAGGTGCTCGGTGTGCGGGCTCTCTGTGTCACCTTTGATTTCTTGGCTCCGTGTGCATCCACCTGCTCATTAGCGTGGGCCGGGCGAAACAGGTGGACTCCCAACAAGCAGCGTCGAAACCCAGATCTGGTTTGCCTCCCTTGCAGTGTCAGGGCAGCCAGGGCTCTAACTCTTGTGGGCGGAAACAAGTGCTTAGCAGCTGATTTCACTGGGCGGCCCTCCCCTCCGGCTTTTAAGACACTCTCTAGTGCAGCCTCACTGGGATTAACGCAGCCTGAGGAAGTTGGGAGGCTAGCAGCTGAGGCCCGGCCCTGCACGCCTCTGCCTCCGAGAGTTCAGGGCCTGCCCGGCGCGGCCTCCCCCAGGGCCTGTGGGGCGGAGGAGCAGCAGGAGCTGTCATTGCGGGGTGGGGGGCTCACCCAGGCGCTGCCAGGCCGGTGCAGTTGGGGCAATAAAACACTCCTGTCCGGGCTCTTAGGTCGGGTCCCCTTTGCACACTGAGTTGTCCCCCCCTTGCTGCTTACTCCTTCCCAGGGAGAGACAGAGACCACACGCCAGCGAGGCCCTTCCCCAGAGATCCCCCAGTGGCCCCACCACGACCCTGTGGGGTCTAGCGTGTGTCTGGGAGCCTGGAACCTTCCATGTGGGCGGCCCTGCAGAGCTGGGCTTATAGCAGAACCAGTCGGCTCTCGCCTTTTGTCATGTCTGTCTCTGACAAAAGCAAAAGTCTCGTTAAAGGATGAGACAGTCGCGAACAGCAGCATTAAAGACCACAGGCCCCCAGCCGCAGCAGTCCCAGCCGCCCTCCCGTCAGGGGCCCCCGTGAGGAAGGTCAGGCCCCTCTAGCCTTTGCACACAGAGATGGGAGATGCCCACGTCACCTGGCCCACGGGGTGGGGGCCTGCTGACTTCAGCTCCTGGGCGCCCTGAGGCAGAGGCGAAGGTGGGGGCGAGGCCTCCTGGGAGGGGAAACAGGACGTGGCCTCCAGGCGGCAGGGGTGGTTAGCACAGTCCTGCGCTTTGGCGATGGGGCCCCTTCACTCAGGCCCTGGGAGCAGCACCCTCCTGTCTCTGCGGCAGAGCGGCCGGAGGACGGGGCCGGCCGGGGCTCAGGTGGGGGAATGCTGGAAGTGTTCCAACGCTAAGTTTTTGTCTGTTTCCTTGTTTAAGGAGTATTTAATTTTTAAAAAAAGAATGATTAATTTAATTTAATTTATTCATTCATTCATTCACTTTTAATTTGACCAGATAGAGGTCCAGAGAGAGAAAGAGGGAAAGTGAGAAAGCAAGTCCCAGGTCTGGGACTCCGACCATGGCCGGCCATGTGGGAGTGTCCAGCACCTTAACCACCACGCTACCTGCTGGCCCCAAGGAGTATTGAATTTTAACTTATTATTTTAAAGTTTGTTTATGGCACATGTGCTCACCAGAGAGGGGGAGGCCAGGGAGACAGAAGGCCACCAGGTCTAGGGCTCAGGCTGCGGTCGGCCACCCGAGAGTCCAGGGCCTTAACAGCCTCGCCACCTGCCGGCCCTAGCGCTAAGCTTTTCAGAGTAGGTGTCTACCTCGTGTCTACGGGTGCCGAGCTGCCCGCGGTGCCGCTGTGGTCGTTTTCTCCTAACTCTCCCTGTGGCAGGCCGCATGGCCACGTGTACAGATGCCCCGGTTCCACTGAGGGTCCCGCCTCAGGCGCGGCCCTAG